GGTCTTGAAAGCTTTCATCTTGGTAAGTTCTTCCTTTAACATGGATACTCCTGATGTTGAACTGGCATCTCAATACTTAGCTACATCCTTAGGGTGGGGAGGCTGAAACTAATTGACACAATCCTATGTAGGATGCAGCTTGAGATGGGCATTTGAGGGGGAATCAAATGTGGGTTCAAGTGCAGTGATGGCAGAGTGGGAGGGAACTAAAAATAAGCTATTTTTTGATGTTTCCCACTGATACCAACAAAGCAATAGTTGATGGCCTTTGAATGGAATTGATCAGGCTTTTTTAGTGGATTGAAAAATTAGTAAATAGCACTTCATATCAAAAGACCTACAATTCTGCTTTAACTTAGCAATTCTACTCTTAAGAATCATAACCAATTACAAATGCACACAGATTTGATTCATTTCTTCCTCTTTATTCCAACAGTTATTTATTGAACACATACTACATGCCAAATACAGTTCTAGGAACTGGGATTGTAGAAATAACCAAAGCAAAGTCCCTGAACTCACAGAGTTCCATTCTAGCTGGGAAAGCTGATAATAAACAAGGCATCATGTTGCCAAATCTCATGGGCAGTTTTCAGCCCACATTTTATTAGCCCTCTCAGTGTCTTCCTTTGAGAAATACTTTCTTTACTTGGTTTCTGGGACAACACATTTTGTTCCCTTACTGTCTACTTATTTCAGTATCCTTTGCTGATGTCTCCTCATCTTCCTGACCATAAATTGGTGGACCCTGAGCTAAGCCTTCAAATATTTCTTCCCTCCCTTATTCAACATTAATATGCCCATGATCTAAAATTTCGATTTCCAGCCCTCACTGCTCCCCTGAATTCCAGTCTTTTAAATGAGACTCCCTACTCGACATCTCCACTTACATGTCTAATAGGCTTCCAAAATTTAACATGACCATCAAAATCAAACCATCAAAATTGATTTTCCACCCCAAGCTATTCTTACTTTTAAATCTTTTCTTTCTCAGTTAATGGCAACTCCATTCCTCCAATTACTCAGGAATATCCTTGGAATCATCCGTGACCTCTTTCTTTCCTTTCAGTCCACCTGAAATCCATCAGATTTAGCTATAAAGATGTCCATCACAGCATTGCTTATAGAATGAAAACTTGGAAATGATCTAATTATTCAACAGTGGAAGATTTGTTTAATTATAACACATGTGGCCATTAAAATGATGTTAGGTTAATAGATTACTGTTCAATGACATTTTTATTATGGAAAATTTCAAACATGCTCAATAATAGAGATCTGTGAACCTCATCATCCAGTTACAACAATTATAAACTCAAAGTTCTTCTTGCTTCATTTATACCCCCAGCTATTTCCCACCTCTCCCCCACTGGATTGTCTCTAGCCAAATCCCAACATCATATGATTTAATAGGTAAATATTTGTACCATATACAAGAGCAGATGATAAATAAATATGTATAATATGTTTTCATTTTTGCAAACTATATGCATATATGCATAGAAAAAAGTCTTACGGGATAGCTATCTCTGAATCATGATATATGAATGATTGTTGACCTCTTCTTTTGCTTTGTGTACATTTTCCTCAATGAGCATGTATTACATGGATTGGGTGGGGGTGGGGTTCTAGTCCTTTCTAAATTTGATTACTTTATTTCAGGCAGGATACTTCATAGTGAAAGGGAAATAACCACTTTGGAGAGGTGAGGATCCTTGTCTCTCAGCTTCTGTTTTCTCTTTGGACAGTCTGTCATTAAAAATTGCATATTAATATCTATTGTGACAGCAAGGTTTCTCAACTTCAGCTCTGTTGACATTTGGGGCTGGATAATTCTTTGTTGCGGAACGCTATTCCTTGCATTCGAGGCTATCTTGCGGCATACCTGGTCTCTCCCCATTAGATGGCCAGTTACATCTTCCTCCTACCCTTGCCTGTTGTAGCAACCAAAAATGTCTTCATAAATTGCCAACTGTCCTCGGGGAGGCAAAATTACCCCTAACTGAGAACCACTACACTACCGCATGTGTGTTAATTTAAATGTACGGTGTCTAGGAGATTAGTGGGGAAAATGTTCTGTTTTACTCATTTTGCTGGCTGAAACCTCAAGAAGGATATAATTTGTGATCTGATGAAAACGCTTTTGTGGTTTACTGGCCTGCACATTTAAGTAACCAACCTATGACTAAGTGGTTAGTGATTATCTGCATTTTTGAAACATATCCAGAAACGAACATGGCAAGTTCAACTCCATGAGAAAAGCAAATGTTGTGAATGAAAGATGGCTTGTCAGCTAAGGCAGCGATCAGATTTTCCTCTCCAGCCTACGAACTAACCTATTGCACTATTCATTATCATCCATGACACAGGGAAATATGTGCAAGTTAAAAGTGGGAAATTTCTTCCTAGAAAATTAATGATGCTGCATACAAATGAACAGTTCTTTTCTATTAGTAATAAACACATAGAGATAGTTGTAAAAGATGAGGGAAAAGGGCATTTAAATATTGCACTTTATTTGGATTTTTTCCTCATAATGGAAACATTATTAGAGAACCATAGAAATGAGATAAGGGAAAATATGAGGTCATCTTGCCCATTTTCTTCAAGAGCTACACTGTTCTGTGTGCCCCCTCCCACCTCCAGTCGAGTCTTATTAAATATCCCCATTTTCATAATATAGGATACTCTCATGATTCCCCCCGGAGGGTAACTCAACACATGCGCAGAGGGCATAAGTTAGTGATATCATAATCTTCAAAAAGATTACTTCTTTAGTTAGCGGCACTGTGTTGGTTGCATAGAAAATAAAACCTCTAGCAAAGTCTACAACAGACATTGGTGATCCAGGTTGATCAAGCACAATACGCCTCATGTCTTAAATATTTTTACACCATTATACAACTGAATGGGGTACGTTTGTGAGTCTTAATGGTTGTTTTTTGCAACTGTTGGATACTCCTAATTCTAGACAATGTATAAGATATTTATAAAACTTCTTATACATTCTTATGTTTACCTACTTGGGAATCAATGCTTAAATTTCATCTTTCATGATAAAATCCAGGATTTTCCTTAATGGTAAATAATAAAAGTAATTACCATCAGTTGAATACCTTCTGTGAATTTAGGTACTGAACCTTTAATATTTTATGCAATCTTTGTATCCTACCAGATATATAGGTCTATTTACACATGAGAGAATGGAGGCTGAGAGAGGTTAAGTACTTTGTCCAAAGTCTCATAGCTTCTGAAAGGCAGAGTCCTGCTTCAGCACATAGTTCAAGTCTGACACCCAAACTCATTATTTAAATAGTCACAGGTGCGGGGTGGGTGTCTTTATGATAATCACCTGTGACCAACAAGAATCACCAGCCCCTAAAAAGGAAGTAAGCCATTGAAGGTGTTACCAGTAGAGATGTTGAAAGGATTTAAGTTCCCTGGTTAGCTTTCTATAAAAGACCAACCCTAAAGGCCCTCGTTGGCAACCCTGTCAGGACCCCTCTCACTCTTGAGAGCTTTTTCTGTATCTTCACTTAATAAACTTCTATCACTTTACTCACAAAAAATAATAATAAATAAATAAATAGTCACAGGATGTGAGGTTTTCTCTAAAAATTTGGGTCAGGGAAAATGTACTTGCTTGGATTCTTTAAAACAAAGCCAATCTGCAACAGCCTGAGGGCTGCATCTAAGAAAAAACCAAAAGTCACTCGTAAAGAAACACTCATGAGCCTGAGAACTGGTGTGGCCCAGGGAATGGACTACATTGGGTTGTTAGAGGTAGAGAAATAGCCCAAGTGCTTTGTACAGTGCAAAGAATAGATTGGGTCTTTCTTAAGTTAGAGAGATTTTAGAGAGGAGGGCTCCTTATGGAAAATTCCTGAGATGCAGGGAGTGGAGGAAGGGGGCTCCATATTTGGTTTCTGTGTCCATGCCTTAGGCTGTTAGGGAAGAGGATAGGTCAGCGGGGTGGGGGTGGGTGGGGTGGGTGGGGTAGTTCCTGTAGAAGTATGGAAAATAAAAGTGTAGAGCATAAAAAGAGTGGCCACAGCTGAAGAAAACAAACCCAAATCCAAACCTAAACCCCAAGCCCAAACCTCAAATAGGTTGTGGGAAAGAATTCTAACAATTGAAAATGAACAGTCAACACCGGACTTCAGGCTGTAAGCCTTCAGCCTGATTAATTAAGGTCAAGGTGGTGATGGCAATACCAGCTGGGGAGCATTTTGCCGAAAGATAAATTTGTCCTTCTGTATCTCTGCAAGACAGCAGGGAGGTGTGTGTTTGGAGCTAAATTAATTTGATTTACATCATGCCATGGTAACTTCTGTTCTCTCTCCCTGCTGTCAGATGTCTTCGCTGGCTCTTTCCCTCTCCTTCACCCCCACACATTTCATAACACAGAGAGAAAGCATGGATTGGCTTCAGGCAGAATTTAGAAATGGAATAACTCTTAATTTGATTATTCGGTATCGGGTGCTATTCTCTCCTCCCCCTCCCTTCTTTCTTCAGGGAGGGAAGTTGTAAACCCGAGCCTAAGTGCGAAGTATTTTTATCCTTAATGGCACAAACTGCTTGACAATCAGAACTTGTTCCTTGTAGCAAAACCTGGCAGCTCACCTATCCTCCTGTGTTTCTCCAACAATACTAATACTAGAAAATGAAGTTACCACCCAGGACCCCGTTAGGAATGCGCTTTTTCTGGCCATGTAGCTTTTCAACTCCGCCAAGCTCTGGAGGCCGGGGTGGAGGGCGCCCCCTCGGGGACCCCCCCACCCAGGGCTCGGGTTCTTGCCCCGCCGAGCCGCCTGCGCCCCCGCGCCCCCGCCCGGCCCGGCGCCCCTCGCCCCTTCCAGCGGCCGGGCGCGCTCCGCCGGGCAGGATAAGGTTACGCCGAGGCTTTCTTGGACCGCGGGGAGGGAGGCGGGTCCGAGCCCGCGCCCCGGCCCGCGGGGGAGTTCCCACCGTGGGCGGCTCGGGCCCGCGGGGCCACCTCCCCGCCGCCGGCCGCGGAGCGCAGCCCCGGGCCCGGCCCCCCGCCATGGCGCGGGAGAGGCCGCCCGGGAGGGGCTGCGGCGCCCTGCGCCGGTGTGTGCTCGGCGCCGCGCTGCTGCTCGGCCTGCGGCTGTGCGCGGAGCTGCGGCCCTCCGGGCCCCGGCTCCCGGCCCGCAGCGCCCCGCCGGGCCCGGCTCCCCGGCCGCCTGGGCCGCACCTGCCGCCCGCGCCCGACCCGCCTCGCGGCGCCAGCAGGAGGCAGGTGACCTACGTGCGCAGCGGGCGCCGAGCGCCTCCGGAGGGCGGCGGGAGCGGGACGCCGGAGCCGGGCTGCTGCGTCCCGCGCGGGCGTCCCCGCCGGAAGGTCAGTGGCAGACGGTGCAGTCTTGGGCCTGACAGCCGAATCCCCCTCCCCGACGCGCTCAGAGCCCGCCGCTCGGCGCCGCAGGCCGCCGCACTGGGACTTCCAGGGAAGTCTTCCGCTTCTCCCACCTCAGCCGCTGGCATCCTTCAATGCCCAGACGTAATGAAGCGGGACTGAGCCGCGTCCATTCAGTGTTCCACCAATATCTGCTGAGCGTGCATTGCGTGCCAGGCCCCCTGCTAGGCGCGCATCCCGCCATGAAGGGCCAAGCCCTGCTCTCAAGGAGCTTACATTTTAGTGAGGAGAGGGTATGAGTGATGGGCAGGGAAAGGAAAAGAAAGGTGATGGGCTTTTGTTTATATTCTGTGCTTCCCACCGGTTTTCGCCTTGAGGCCCGGACGAAGCGGGCTGGGTAGCCATTGTGAGTGGCCTCTCCACTCTACCTTCATCGCGGTGATGGAGATCCCACTCTCCAGCCTGATTTCCCTTGAGTTCCACTGCAGATGTTGGCAGGGTGGCTGGCGCAGGGTGAGAAGCCGAGCCCCAGCACCTCTTGACGGGAAGTGAATGGGAACCTCGAGGACTGAAGTAATAACCTAGGTTTGTCTTACAGCACTCGACAGTGTTGCTCTTCCTACCGCATTAACTTCTTGACTCACACCTCAAGTGAGTGGTTCAAATTTAACCTCTGGTTGGTTGTTAAGCCTCTGGCTTCCTACCCTCCTTTGGAGCTCAGTAATTTACTAGGTATTTGGGGATGAAAAGATTAAGAACTGCAGATATGAGCTGGCCTGGGCCTCATGACCCATTAACCCTAACTGCATCCTCTAGGGCAACTTCTGTCGGGCGGGCTCATCCTTTTTTCTTTTAAACATCTCCTGTCCCCCACCGTGCGCCTCTTGGGGAGAGGAAAAACTCTTCTTTTGACTCTGCTGCTTTCTTTAGCTTCCCAGTCTAACCTACTTTGTGGTATCACACCCCACCATTTCTTCCCCTGCTTTCCTTTCCCCCAAGCATTGCCTCTGATGTGCAGACCACTGCTGTACCCACCCGGCCATCGGTGTTATCTTCCTGGATAAACTCAAATACTTTTTTCTATCTCTGAAACCTCACTTCCCAAGTAAAGTCTTAATCTGGTCTTCCACTCCCTTCTTCATGCTCCTAATGCACTTTCCATGGCACCATGTTATGCCACCAGCACACCTCTGCCACGGGCTTCCCGGGTCCCACGTGCTGCTTCAGGTGCTGGGGGCACAAAATGAGGTCAAAGTCCGCTGACGGAGGCACTCAGCTTAGGCCTCCAGTAATGTGACCAATGCTGTACTTAAAGTCTTGAACTCTGGCTGAGGGGTCAAAAAAGGCTAACCATGAGGGGGCGTTTGACCGAAGACTCAGTATTTCTTAAAAGTTCAAGTTCTTTGGTTCTCTCCATGTCCTCAGATGTCCCTTCAACCCTACCCTGTAGTTTTCCTCTCATATCCGCCCTCAGCCTCCGTTGTTTCTGTTGTCACCTGTCCAAGAATCACTCTTAAATCTTGGTCCCCACTTCAGGCCACAGTATCTGTAACTGGAGCCTGTCCTGCAAATGGGAAGGGTTGGAATGCACAGACTTAGAGGGTGACTTGAGGGGAAGTTCACGTCCATCCCCTCTAGGAGCCTGCTGCTGTGATTCAGGCGGTGGTAGAGGTGGAGGTGTGAGGAGTGGTCTGATTCTGGATGTATTTTGAAGATGAGGGAGGGAGGAGAAGTTTTTGTTATTGTTTAGCTTTTGTTTTTTTTGGTGGGGGGCGGCTGGACAGAAATCAGGAGGTTGGTTTTAAATATTTTGAATTTGAGATATCTTGTAGACATCCAGGTGGAAATGTCAAACAGGCAGTTGGACATATGAGTCTGGGGTTGGAGGAAACATTGAGGCTAAAGATAGAGATGAGGGGGTCCTCAGTGTACAAGTGGGACTAAAGCCATGAGACTATAGAGATCAACTAGGGAGTGAGGGTGGCTAATAGAAATGAGCCACCTGGGTCTGAGCCCTGGGGCTCTGTTTTATTAAAACTAAATTAGAGAAAACAAAAGGGAATGTATGCCTAGAGTCTAGTATGTTATAAGCACTCAATAATCGTAGCTTTAATGTTCACCCATCTGTCTTGAGTCTTTAGCCTCAGTCATTCCCCAAATGTTATTTGTTGTAATTTATCTCCATTCCTTTGGCTTATGCTGATTCTCTTACTTGTGTGTGTGTGGGGCCCCCATCCTCCTTTCCTATGACTCATGCCCTTTCCATCCTTGAACGTTCAGGTCAGGGGTCATCGCCTGGAAACCTTCCCATATCAGTCCTACTTCCTTCCATGCTGATCTTTCCCCAATTGGGAATGACAATAGAAATGCGTTCTGATTTGTGAGTTGCTTTGTACATGCTACGACCTGGTAATCCATTTCAGCTTGAATGTTTTGTTCCCGCACTTGTGCCTGATGGAAAGGATTGTATTTCCCAGAGTGACCCCTAGGAAATGTTTACTCCTGAGACACTGATACGTAAAAAAATATAAGAATCTTACCACTTCAGCCTATTATGTGTAACTCTAAATGTCTTCTGTTAAAAATGTATAAGAAAGAACTGAGTTTATTGCTATTTTTAAAATATTGTTTAATTTTGTAGCCTCCTAAGGAAGAATCGTCCCTGGATTTCCTTTCCCCTAGCTATCTCTTTATTTACTTTTTTTTTTTTTAAAGATTTTATTTATTTATTCGACAGAGAGAGAGACAGCGAGAGCAGGAACACAAGCAGGGGGAGTGGGAGAGGCAGAAGCAGGCTTTCCGCTGAGCAGGGAGCCCAATGCGGGGCTCGATCCCAGGACCCTGGGACCATGACCTGAGCCAAAGGCAGACGCTTAACGACTGAGCCACCCGGGCGCCCCTATTTACTTTTTTTCAAGATATACATTCTAACTTCCTCACATTCCTAGATAGTGGGAATCTTGAAATTGTTTCATTTTCCCTTTTTTTTTCAGCTGAATTATAATGTTCCTCAAAACTGAAAAGACCAGTTATCTAATCTGTTCTCCCACTTCTGGGAACAGAGTTTGAGATCTCTTATCTCCCTGAAGACAAATCTTGTTCCTTTTTTAGCCTCCTATCAAGATGTGAAATGTAAGCTCAATGTGCTGTTAAATAATTGATATAATGAAAGTTTGAAAGTTATGTGTTAAAAACCTTGGATCTCATTTTACTTAAAATTTTGTTTGTTGAGAATAGTGGTAAACAATGTGATTTAGGTTCTTGGTTACTTTGTGGAAGGCACCTACCAGATTGGCGAAGGAGAAAAAGTTCCATTCTATTTTGAGGATGGCGTTTGGGGTGGATGAAAACCTGCATGAAATAATTGGGTTGCTGAGGGTTTCTTGTCAACGTGCTTCCTTTGCAGGTGTTAGAGGCACAAAAATTCAGCAATTATATTGCCACTTTAATCACAGCTTATGCTTCTCTTAAAGAAAATAATCTGTTATAAAAAAGAGAAGTGAAGTGTAGTCCTCATATAATTCTTTCCCTCTTTCTTCCTCCCCTTCTTTCACCCAGCCATGCAAGAACTAGCTCTAAATATTACTTCTTTCACAGCAGAGGTGGTTACCTTAGAGCACTGTGAAATGGGGGCATGATGGATAAATACTGCCTTTTTGCATTAGGACTACCCTGGAACCCATGCATTTTTGTATAGACAGAAGCCTTCCATCAGAGCTCTTAGGCTCCCAAATCTGCATACCACACATGCATAACCATTTCCCTGTCATTTTTTTCCTTTTCCTCCTCTCTTGTTTCTTTCTGTTTTTTCTTAGACATATACTGTGATTACATGGGCCAAGTTCTTTGTGGGGGGCATTTGTGGAGGACTAAGATATGGTCTCCATGATTTGTGCTTCTTCTTCTTTTTTTTTTTTAGATTTTATTTATTTATTTGCGGGGGCAGAACAAGGGGGAGAGAGAGAATCTCAAGCAGACTCCCTGCTAAGCATGGAGCCCGAGGCAGGGCTCAATCTCAGGACCCTGAGATCATGATCTGAGCCGAAATCAAGAGTCAGACGCTTAAGTGACCCAGGCCCCCCCGATTTATGCTTCTTTATGCAGTCTTGGGTAGATGTTTGTCTTACAGGTTAGCAAACCATGTAAAAGACAGCAGCACAATCTATGGCTCATTTGTATAGGAGAAGCACTCAACACAGGAACCAAGCTTCCCAAAGAAATTTCTTCTCTCTTATTGGAGATATTTTACTTGACATTTAATATGTTGGATAGAAAAGTGACTTCTGAGTCACAGAGCCACAGAAACCAGCAATGTGCTGGTTTGGTTTGTTAGTTATGGATCTTTTGGAACAATGTGTCAGAAGAAAAAAAAAAAAGCTGTCTCCTCTTCTGCAAAACCATCTGGAAAAATTTGGTCTTTCTTCCTCACTTCTCATCATCTTAGTTTTCTAATTCTGTGATTTTCATCAAGGGGGAAGAGGTAGATGCATAGTCTAGTCCCTTGATAAAGCCAACTGCCTTAAAAGTCCTTATTCTTTACAAAATACTTGCAGGGAGGTTTGAATGGCTTGTAAAATAGGGCCCAGCAGTAGTTTCCAGCTACTTAGATTTTTGCCTTGTACCTCCATTTCTCTCCTTCAGGGAACAACATTAATCAATCCTCTCACACTGTCCTCAGGAGGCAAAGCATTTTCATTTTAAACAAAGTCGTCGAGGGTAATTGAATGAGCTCCAGCAATATGTGGGTGTGAAATAGCAGTTGCTTGGTTTCAGAAAGAAAAGCAGGTTTTGATTAAAACTTTGATGTGTCTGAGACGGGGAATAGGCCTCTGTACTCCTTCCAAACCCCGCAGTTCCTCAGAGAGCATTCTGTGGGCAAAGGAACTGCTAATGGAGGCTCCATTGTTTTTCAACAATTGGCAGTGGAGGTTTTAGGTTTTTGTGTGCAGTTCGTCCAGTCCATTTTCCAAGGAAAAGAAAATGCT